GGCTGTGAGAAATTTATACGAATCGACAAAACGCAATTTAATATGATTTTTTGATTTCTGTTCGGTAAGTTTAACATTTTTCGTAAATGATATATATTTTTCTTTTGTTATCGGAAGTAACTCGATCCCCCTTCGAACGCTGTAGCTATTTCCTTTATAATAAAATGTGTATCGTAACCGGATAAATTATGAAAAACTATTGGAATGCAAAAAGGATTTTTATAATTTAAATTGCAATTTGAATGCGCGGGACCTCTGTATCGCCCGGTCAGATGACAATGATCGCGTACGCGTGTATCGTCTTGTACGAATGGTTTCTCGCAAATGTGCCCTTTTGTCGCGCTATGAAATTTTTCCCATTCATCAGATGTTAAATTTACCATGGGGACATTAGCTGACAAAATAATTTTTACACGTTGCGCTAAATTTTGTAGTTCTTCGACGAACCATGATATGCAATCGATACCGCGACGGGAATGATACGCGGATAACGATTTGTTGTACGAACAATGTACATAATATGCTATGCTAAATACTTTGTGATGTTGGTAGTTTCTCTCTTCCTCCGTCTTCTCCAAAACGCACTCCAAGTCAGCGTACACGACGAAAGGAAGCCGCTCTTTCCGATTATAGTTGTTGAACGTGAGCCACTTGTCATTATCGCTCGGTAATCGGATAGCGCACTCGTTCATCTCTCGACAGTCCACCGTATGTGACTGTAACTTGTCGTTCGAGCCAAAATAGTGCACACATATGTAAAAGAAATAATTTTTAATTTTTGTTCAAAGATTTCTGCAATATAATTTATTAAATATATACGTACCGATCGCAGATATATTTCTTGTGTTCTTTTTTGCTCAATTGCGAGCTCACGAGCCTGGATAGATTCTTGATCCACGCGAAATATCCAACGTTGTTGTCTTCAATGTACAACAGGTTGACGTGTTTGTCTCTTTTCAGCCCACTTAGACGTATCGGGATAACGTTCTTTTCCTCGATACTATATACATTGATTGAGATATCGTTGGCAAG